TAATTTATGGAAAAACACTTGAAAAAAGAATTAAAATAAATTCATGTGAAATATTAACAAATTCATTAGGATTTTTAAGTCGTTTGATGTAGGTTTGACACTATAAAACCAAAGAGATTAAGTCCGAGGCTTGTATATTGGTATATATTCTTATATTTTTGTCGGATCTAATGTTATACACATCCTTCTTTCGATCGAATATATGTATAGTTTTTCAGATCTTAGTTGGAGACCGATAGCTTTGAAACTCTTGCAGCCGTTCTGATGAATCATAACCAGAGTTGCTTACAGTCTTTTTGAACCTATAGACTTTTTTTTTAACATATGAACGCTTTTTTGGCTTCCTAAACCCTGATTCAGACAAGATTTCACAGAATACTTTTTCATCCACAGAGTTAGCTTTTTTAACGACTCACTGCCCCTTTGTGTATCTTACACATCCAGTGGAAACTTTTGTATACGGTTCTGCCGGTTCCTGTACTTTGCTAACTCAACAGATGGGATGGGATCTGTTGATTTAGCAATAGCACCTAGGGACGTAATCGGTAGACAGAAACACTAATCCATCAAATAAGCCAAGTACTTGTTTTTACTCTTGTATAAGATACCATACATCCATCACCATTCAAACCAGCACATTTCTCATTCATGCGATACACTCATTGAGTAAAACTATCGACAAACTCACTCTAGGTATACTGGTGGATAAGGTCCGCATAACTCTACATCCATCCGGTATCATATACACTTGTCACCAACTCATTAGTCCCAAAGTCACTCCTCTGCGGGGTATATATTGTCTCGGCAAACAGCACCGAATTTATCCAGAATTATAGACTTTACCTGTTGTTCGTTTTTTAACCAACATTCTCTTCCCGCAAATTTGGGTTTAAACCGTACACCCCGAGGGAACCTCTCCATTAACCGGTACAAGACAAAATCCGAAACTCTGTCCTGTGTGCTAGCCGTTCCCGTGGTACCAGATTGTGTGGTTCTCTGTTTCGACCCCATATCAAATCATTCCAAGGAAAGGCCGAGGATATATACTCACTTGAGGCCCTAACATCTTCCATTTCCCAATTTAACAATATGAATCGGTTTCAGCTTTATCGAGTACGAGTAGTTGCGGTAGACTCGGTTTCAGTTCGAGAATCGAGATCGAGAATCAGTTTCAGTTTTATCGAGTAGGAGTAATTGCGGTAGACTTCAAGCGTTTAGTGTTACAAGATGATTGAAAGCTGTTATGTACATATGTCCTTAGTTAAGGTGTCCAAAGTCCTTATCATCTCAAACACTCCCATTTTCCAATCATCCACTATAAATCAGTTGCTATATCGAGTACGAGGAATTGCGGTAGACATCAAGCGTTAAATGTTACAGTATGAATGAAAACTGTTATATATCTCCTTAGTTGAGTTCTTAATATCTCAGACACTTATATTTGCCAATCTTCCAATATAGAACAATTGATTTTATTGACGGCTTTCGGCACAAAGAACAACCAGAACTTTCAGTAACATTTGAGCTGGATGGACCACTAAAAGAAGGAGTACATGAAATGGATTTGATTATATCTATTGAAATCTTCTTGGTTTCGGAGGTAACTCAATGTTTCATGAAGGGGAACTTTCAGTAACACTTGAGCTGGAAGGACCACTATTTAAACAAATTCACAGATATGTACAAGCAATGCAATTCATTATATAGTCTTTCACCATTGAAGTTTTTCTTGGCAGATGATCTATAATTTTCGGTAGCCACCTAATGAAAACCGAAATTTGACTTAAGCAACTACAATAACATTAAGGGAATGAATCACATTATAGCGGGTTTAAATATAATAAAAGAAAACTATAAGTCTTAAATAAGAAAATATTTTAACTAATAAAACTATTTTTTTACAATTTTAATAGATAAAAACAACTAATACTTAATAATAATTACAATATTAACTAAATAACTCAGATTTCTAAAAATACACCAAGAGTATTAACTTGTCTCTATATGTATTTAGCTAAAAGTCATGTATACTAATACAGCCAGCTGCAATATGAGTAGACAGTCAGAAAATATTCTTATTAATTATTAAAAACAAAAAATCTCATTCTCTTAATTAACATCATTGCCTACCCCACTTTAATATTATAGACAACAACCCCCCAGCCCTCACTTTATGCTTTGTTCCTTTCGTCCACAACACCCCTTCACTTTAGCCGTTTCACCTATTTTATACAAGAGTCTTGCTTTCGGTCCTAATGCAGCAGTTGCAGCCCATTTTAAAAAAAACAAAAAAAAAACGCAATAATAGTGCAACAATAAGTACTCTCATAATTTCTATGATTTTAGTCTAAAACTCGCCACATGCTCTACACACTCTCACTCTTTTCACGTTCATACACACATAAGTATTCCTATAATACGCGTCTTTGGCGTTACGTCGACGTTAACCTGTTCGTTAACGTAGACGGCAACGTTGATGGGTCACGAGTGAAAATGAAATTATTTTTATGACTTTCGTAGCAAAAGACTCAGTTGAAACACAATAAAAAGAGAACAACACAACAGAACTTAAGCACAAGTTGCAAACATCATCATCATCTCACCGAATACTTTTGCAAATGTTTTCTGAACACAGGGAGAAATTGACATGTACAATTGGTATTGGGCCAAGAAGAAAAAGAGCGCTTTTTCCCTGTCGAAGACATAAGAGCGTGTGTGTGTGTGTGTATTTTGCTTGCATTGCCTGCTTGTCAACGATGTTCATTCAACGCTACCACTTGTTTAACGAAATTGAGCAAATAGAAAATATACAACGAAGCAGCAGGAGATATTGTAACGCCATCTGCAGTAGTAGCAGCAGCAACAGCAGAACACATCGTCACCGTTATTGCCGGCTTTAGCAATATGCAGGCATGTTGCCTGGCTGACTAGATGGCGAAAAAATTCCTTAACATGGAAAACAAACGCGCCGCAAACTTTACGTTTTTGGTTATTATGACTTCGAAACAAAAGATATCTGTTGGTTGGTTGGCTGACTGAATGACTGGATGGTTGGTTGGTTGGTGAGCGCGTAAAATGCTCTTTGTATATTGACAGTTTACATACGTACATATGTATGTAGATGTATCAATAGTTGTTGTAGTAGTCGTAGTGTTGCATTAGTTCAGTTGCTTGCAATTTTTCTTGGGCCTACGATGCCGTCTATGAGTTGTAAGTATAAATATTGAGAAATGCATTCGTTGCATGACTTTGTCTGCGCGTATGTGTGCGTAAACATTTGTGTGTATTTGTGTTTCTTCTTTGCGCCAACTTACGTTTTTCTGTTTTTGTTTTTGGTTCTGTTTAAGTTCTCTGTCGCAATTTTTTCCTGTTGGCGCGTTCAGAACATCTCACTAGGAACGTTGGGTGAGCAGTACACCAACATCATCGCCACCACCACCAGCAGCACCTCCATCAGCTCAACGCGAAGTTCAATACTTTCGCTATACAGGCATTACTTTGTATTTGGCAGTGCCATGGCAAGTTGTTGTACGTAAGGAAGTAGTTTTCTAATTCTTGTTGGTTGATTTTAGATTTAGACGCCTATTGCAACGTCGTAAACGACGCATTCGCGTCAAATTCAAATCGCACATTCACAATCACAACGACATCACCAACATCTACACCATCAACTACAGCAATATTTAGCCGAAAAAAACAACATCAGAAAACTTTTGCTGTTGCCGCCTCGAAAAAGTTATTGTTTGTGGAATTTTCATACTTACACATGGTCTTAGAGTGCCTCCATTTAAGAGTGGTGAGAGTGTTCATGTGTGTGTGTATCTTTGTGTGCAAAAAAACAAAAAGAAACCAACAATTCAAGAGCAGTAAAAGTAGCAGAAGAATTTCGAGTAGTTGTACGTACTACTACGTGTATTTGTGTGTGTTCGTGTGTGTGTGTCGATGTCGTAGTTATAGAAGTATCGAAAACTAAACTAAAACTGCTTAGCAAAGTGCGCCTTCTCGATGTCGGTCTCGTCGTCGTTTGAGTCATCACCAACCATCATCATATTGCATGGTGCCTTTATTTGTTGCTGTTGATGTTGTTGTCGTTGTTGTTTTCGTTTTCTTTTCTGTTTGTTGTATGTGCTTCAGTTTTTCCCCATACAATACATACAACAGTTTTTAAGTTTGTTTTGAGTTTTCCGTATTAAAATGTGCGAAACAATTTCAGTCTAAATCAGACGGTCGTGCTGAGAAGACTTTTACGTTAACACAGACAATTTATACGAAACATTCGAGATTGTGTTTTTGTTTTCCCAGAATCATTTTTACCATTTGGCTCTGTTTGGCCTGTTGTTTGTTGTCGTATGTTTTCGCAATGTTCTTGCCACACTTTAACTGTTTTATGGCTGCTGCTACTGATATTGTTGTTGTTGTCGTTGTTGCTTTTGTCATTGCACACTAGTATAAGATTTTAATTATTAGCGAGCGTGAATATATCTGAGTGTGAGTGGGTTAGTGTGTGTGTGTGTATGTTTGTGTTATTCACAGTGAAATAATAGTCGTTGAAAGGGAGATTAGTATCGGGTACTCGACTGAATACTATTGCAACAACTACCACTTCTGGTACTGATACTTCTACTAACACTAATACACAGCCAGTGCTCGTGCTCACTTATACACCTACAAATAGCAACAAAATATCGATTCGTTGATCTACGTACCAGCCACATGCCACATCAATACACTAACATCAATAGCAACTTAAACAACAACAACAGCGTAATGAATTTAAAAAATAAACAATGTTGCGACTTGTAAAACATTAGCAGCAGCTCTAACGGCAGAATTCTATAAAATAAAGAGCGCAAATTTGCGTGTTCATTAACATCGTTTCGCTAATTTTTTTCGACAAATTCGCGCGTGTTACAAAAAACAGACAATTCTCTACTTCCGGTTGCAAAGTAATGAGCACAACAAAGATGCTAGTGTGCGTATGAACTGAATTATTAAAAAACAAAAGAACACAAAAAACAAACACGTTATCGTTTATGATGTAGTTCGCGATAAATCCCGACTAGGGATGAGTTAAACAAAAAAGATAAACAAGAAAAAAAAAAAACGAAAATTATTGCTACATTACAATTACAATAGTCAATAACTGTGTTAATACATAATAATGGATACAAATAGTCCTCCACCACGTGCTGTCAGCAGTCAAGCGCCAGCCGCCACCACAGGAGTTAGAGAGGTTGACTCACCGTTTAGGGAAACACAGGAGACAAAGCAAAACTCACCCAGACCTCCCTCAAGACCCTCTTCTGTATTGCCTCACTTACTGGCTTCTTTTGTTGCCAGTCCCACAGCATCTAGTAGTAAAAAACCAAGTCCTGATAGAAGGGAAGAAAGCCAAGGAGGAAAACGCAGTCCTACAAATGATACATCCTTGAAATCGCCCACAGCACACTCCGATACAAGTCCCTCCACTCCTATTTGTGGTATGCCACCTTTCTCACCTCAATCGGATAGATCATCTTGTGGCTCCACGTCTGCCACAGCGCCCCAACAGTTTTGTCTACGTTGGAACAATTACCAAAGTAACCTTACCAGTGTCTTTGATCAGTTGCTACAGAATGAGGCATTTGTGGATGTAACTTTAGCTTGTGATGGACGTTCCATTAAAGCCCACAAAATGGTCTTATCAGCCTGTTCGCCCTACTTTCAAACACTGTTCTCCACCACACCCTGCACCCATCCAATAGTCATAATGCGTGATGTCAACTGGTTCGAGCTTAAATCAATCGTAGACTTCATGTACAAAGGAGAAATAAATGTGAGTCAAGAGCAAATTGGTCCCCTATTAAGAATAGCCGAAATGCTGAAAGTAAGAGGTTTGGCCGATGTCAGTAATATCGGTGGATCCTCGGCTCATATTAGTGCACGTGCTCAGGAACCACCCAACGAAAAGGAATTGTACTCTACACAAACTATAATGGACTCACCGAAAAGACATGACATGATCACTTCTCCCTCAACGAAAAGACCTCCGAGCCAAAGCCAGGATTCTGATAATGAAAGATCCGAACACGATAGAGATATTTCTTCGTTGGCCGAAACAGAGAAGAAAAGTCGTTTGGAACCCTCCGATTGGGATATAACGGGTTCTGTAAAAACTACTGAGAGTAGTAATTTAGAATTAAGATTATCTCCCTTGCAACATCAACATTTACTGGGTAGAAATGTTCGAAAACGTAGATGGCCGTCCGCTGATGCAATATTCAATCCGCCCGAAAGTCCACTAAGTAGTTTAATAGCCGCCGAGAGAGCCGAACAGGAAAGAGAGCGTGAGAGAACGCGTGAACGAGAAAAAGCTAGAGAAGTTACTCTCTTTACACCACCCATACCTGTTACTTCTTGTTCTTCCGGTGCCACCTCAAGTCTTAACAGCGGCGGCATGAGTTCGAATGTACTGGAGTCCAGCGTTCTAATGGATATAACATCTCCTTCGCCTACACCCACACCAAATTTACTTCCACCGGCGAGGACCCCTTCGGGCATGCTGACGCCTTCACCTCATTTACAGATCTCACAACATCAACATCATTCTCATCAGCCACTTCAATCTCATCGCTCATCACCTGCCTCGTCTGTTACTTCAACACACCCGTCCAGCATATTAAGTAGACCTTTAACGCCCTCTCCCGCCAGTGTGGGACACGCTGGGCCTAGCAGTAGTCGTTTGGTAGAAGGTAGTCAAATGGCCGGTGACTCTCATCGTTTTCCACTTGGACCAGCTCAAGCCATGGCGGCAGCAGCTGCTCAAATGGATTTAGGCAGTACAACATCTATGGGTATGAGACCACATTCCTCCTCTGCTGGTCCTCCTATGTCAGCAGGACCTGGACACCATACTTCTTCATTAGTAGATGATTTAGAAATAAAGCCAGGAATAGCAGAAATGATACGAGAAGAAGAAAGGGTGAGTAAATTTTCCATTTTTTTTCCTTTAATCTTTCGATAATGATTACAAATATATATCTATGTAGAATTTTCAAGTATAAAACTTTATTCCAAATCATTTTAAGCCGATTTATAGCTTTTGTTTTGCTACTCCATTCGCATGTTACATTCTACATGAATGTTGCGATCAACGTCTTAATTTGACACACACTCTTCAACTGAACACACACAATTATTTATTAAACACACTGCACACAGTGTTTTTGTACAAATGTCATGTTGTTGTCATTTGTTGAGTCATGCAACAGCTCTTACAGAGTCAGACCTGTTGTTAGTATTCTCTCTATTTGTGTTTTTTAAAGTGTATGAGGGCATGCGGGTTTTTCTTACAATTATGTAGTTGTAAGAGTCGGCGCTAATATTGATGTTGCACTTGTACATTTTAAATACTTTGACGCATGCGCAGACGTATGTTTAAGTGGCTGGTTTGTAGGCCAAAACAGAACTTTAAGTCTAGCTTGTTTGTGTAGAGTTTTTTAAACAGACTTATGGGTTTGTTACGGAAATGATTTTTATAACGAATGGAATTAGAATAGATGTCATTGTTTTTGAAATATGACATCGTTCAAATGTCTGCTGCGAAAGCGCTGAGACGACCGAATGACCTGTATTCGATTTTTAAAACTCTGACATAAAATTTATTTTAAGAGAATGATTCCAAATTTACGAATTTTATCAGTGTTTAGCTTCTATAATGTTTTAATTGCTGTTATAAGATGTACCGACGGCAATTTGAAATGAAAAATGTTTTTTTTTTTTCATTAATTACATTTATAGATTTGATTATATAGTCTGTGGACAAATCTATAGACTAGTTTATGGATCTATATTGACTAGATAATAGATTAGTCTATATACATATATTCTAGTCTATTAACTAGTACATGGATTGGTCTATTGTCTTCTCTAACCTAAAAGCCGTTTGGTCTACACACTATTCCATTAGAATACAATGGAATAATAAACTATTTTATATGTATTCCAATAGCTAGTCTGTATCTTAGTAGTATATTGAATAGTCTATAGTCTGTGAGCTAGTCTCTAAACTAGTCAGTGGACCGTGGAGTGATCTACTGACCAATTTATCGATAAGTATATAAAATATAAATAAACCAGCTATGAACTAGCTTACGGATCAGGACTAAACTACGTTACAGATTCTAGCTTCAGCCATTTAGGCTAATATGGATTACTGGATTTTCGAATTTTTAAGGAGTAGAAACTGGTCAATTCGCTAACCTCATATCTCCTTATGTAAAATAGATACAACAGAAATGTTATTTGTTGTTTATTCATAAAATAAGCGAACAGGTATGGCACTTTTTTGGTTTAAATGGCTAATCATGTTTTTTGTTACTTTTTTGGGCCTCAGGTAATCTTTCTAACCTGTGAGCATAGAAGTAAAATTTATATCATATTCGCACATTATGGAAAAAATGTTTGGTGCTTTTGTGATTTCGGACGTTTACGGAGCCAGAGATACAAGCCGCGACGGCTCCTTAATAAGGATTTTACTATTTAGACCAACTCGAACCGAAAGAGTAGAATAAATTGGTAATTTTTTTTAAGTTTCGTACTTTTGTTTGGTACTTGGTAGTCAGTTAGTTAGTTGTTAGTAGTCGTTAGTTAGTTAGTTAGTTAGTTAGTAGTAGTTAGTTAGTTAGTTAGTTAGTTAGTTAGTTAGTTTTTTTGTTAGTTAGTTAGTTAGTTTTAGTTAGTTAGTTAGTTAGTTAGTTAGTTAGTTTTTAGTTAGTTAGTTAGTTAGTTAGTTAGTTAGTTCTTAGTTAGTTAGTTAGTTAGTTAGTTAGTAGTTAGTTAGTTAGTTAGTTAGTTAGTTAGTAGTTAGTTAGTTAGTTAGTTAGTAGTTAGTTAGTAGTTAGTTAGTTAGTTAGTAGTTAGTTAGTTAGTTAGTAGTTAAGTTAGTTAGTTAGTTAGTAGTTAGTTAGTTAGTTAGTTAGTTAGTTAGTTAGTAGTTAGTTAGTTAGTTAGTTAGTTAGTTAGTAGTTAGTTAGTTAGTTAGTTAGTTAGTTAGTTAGTTAGTTAGTTAGTTAGTTAGTTAGTTAGTTAGTTAGTTAGTTAGTTAGTTAGTTAGTAGTTAGTAGTAGTTAGTTAGTTAGTTAGTTAGTTAGTTAGTTAGTAGTTAGTTAGTTAGTTAGTTAGTAGTTAGTTAGTTAGTTAGTTAGGTTAGTAGTTAGTTAGTTAGTTGTTAGTTAGTTAGTTAGTTAGTTAGTTTAGTTAGTAGAGTTAGTTAGTAGTTAGTTAGTGTTAGAGTTAGTTAGTTAGTTAGTTAGTAGTTAGTTAGTTAGTTAGTTAGTAGTTAGTTAGTAGTTAGTTACGTTAGTTAGTTAGTTTTTTTTTTTTTAAGTAGTTAGTTAGTTAGGTTAGTTAGTTAGTTTAGTTTTAGTTAAGTTAGTTAGTTAGGTTAGTTAGTTAGTTAGTTAGTTAGTTAGTTAGTTAGTTTAGTTAGTTAGTTAGTTAGTTAGTTAGTTAGTTAGTTAGGTAGTTAGTTAGTTAGTTAGTTAGTTAGTTAGTAGTTAGTTAGTAGTTAGTTAGTTAGTTAGTTAGTTAGTTAGTTAGTTAGTTAGTTAGTTAGTTAGTTAGTTTAGTTAGTTCGTTAGTTAGTTAGTTAGTTAGTTAGTTTAGTTAGTTAGTTAGTTAGTTAGTTAGTTAGTTAGTTAGTTAGTTTCGTTAGTAGTCGTTAGTAGTTAGTTTCGTTAGTTAGTTAGTTAGTTAGTTAGTTAGTTAGTGTAGTTAGTTAGTTAGTTAGTTAGTTAGTTCGTAGTCGTTAGTTAGTTAGTCGTAGTTAGTTAGTTAGTAGTTAGTTAGTTAGTTAGTTAGTAGTTAGTTATGTAGTTAGTTAGTTAGTTAGTTAGTTTAGTTTAGTTAGTTAGTAGTTAGTTCCGTTAGTTAGTTAGTTGGTTAGTTAGTTAGTTGGTTAGTTAGTTAGAGTTAGTTAGTTGGTAGTTAGCTTTAGTTAGTTAGTTAGTTAGTTAGTTAGTTAGTTAGTTAGTTAGTTAGTTAGTTAGTTAGTTAGTTAGTTAGTTAGTTAGGTTAGTTAGTTAGTTAGTTAGTTAGTTAGGTTACAAAAGAGGATGTAAGGGCATGCATACATCAAATACGAAGTAATAGGCCTATGTCGGCCTGTTGTGCCTCAGGGGGAACCAAGTCAGTTTTATATATATAAATGATACTGCCGATTATGATCGGGTCACATTTAACTCAAGTCCCCATACAGGTACATTCCACAAAATTAGAACTTAAAAGAATTTTACCAAATTTTTCAAAATTTCTTACATATTAAAAAGCTTTCCTCAAAAGTTTAAAAAGACACATAAGTCATTTTTCAGGCAACACGAAATTGCAAGAACAAAATTTATGAACTTTCTGATCTTTCAAATGTAAACAATTTAAATTGATTTTGTGTAATAATTATTACGAAAGAGATTGTAGTATATTAACATTTTATTATACATATAAGCCTGGGTTAGCTCAAGAAATACAATTTATTCACTTGTGTGTCATCATTTTACAAACAAAGATGATCCTCACGGTGAAACTTCTTCGTCTTAACTCAAACTATAGAATTTTATACAAGTTTAATAATAATTTATTTTTTTGTTGTTGTTGCTGTTATTATGCATTACAGCATCATTAAATGAGAAGGTATTTGAAATAAAAAAAGGAACAGAACAGTAAAACTTAAATATTGACAGATGAATTCTTTTTTATACATTTGAGTGTGCGTTTTTGGATAAATACGAACATCCTCAAACACACACGGATACTCAGACTCCACACACCAACCAACTAATGAACGAACATCAGTAATACCGATGCAACCAGCAACAAAAACAACATTCATTTGAACGAATTAAATGTAAAAGAATCAATTTATAGTATTTCGGTTGTGACTGTGGATTTTTTTTTTTTTTGTTTTTTTGTCTTGTATTATTTTTTCCCATTTTTTTATAAATTTTAAATGCAGATAAAAAGAGATAAGTGTCAGGTCGTTTGGTCGATTTGGTTGTCAGAATGCCTGTATGGATGTGTGGATATATTATTCGTATTTATTTTATGTACGATCGAGAGTATTTATGTATGAATTTTGTGAATGCAAGTGAGTATACTCACTGTATGTGCCAGTGGTAAGCAAAAGGGGATTTTATACACCGCATGTCTTTTAGGTTTTGATTAATTGCATTTTTATATTGGTGTGTTTTATTTTTTTTATTTTATTTTATTTTTTTTTTTTTTTCTTCTTAACAAAATTAATGCATCTACATTTATATAATAAATAAGTATAAATATATTTACTTATACACATATTATGTGTATGTGTGTGTATGGTATAATAAATATTATTGTTATATATTTTTATTTTTTATTTATTTATTTCTTAATACTTTTGGTTTTTCGGCTTGACTTTCGAGAAGTTCATTGAACCATTTTAATAATGTTGCTTGGTGTGCAGTCTGCATCTTGTTGGTTGGTTGTTTTTTTAAATAAAAATAAAATCGTTATTTTAAATGTGTACAAGTAATTTTGATTAATATTTAATTAAGTTGAATTTATGTTATTTGCAACATTCACTAAAAATAATTAGTTGTTGTTTTATAATGCTCATTAGTAGGATCTTTGAGATAAGTTTAAGTGTTTTTGTATATGAAAGTTTCGAGTTATTTTAATCATCAATCATAATTCAGTAACTTTCGGTTATGTTTCAAAAATAAGGACCGTACTTTTTAAATTACACAAGTCCAAGTTATATAGCACCAAGACAACTTTATTTATAAAATATTGTATGCCACCTGAAAGTCCATTCCGTCAACCTTAAAATAAAATCTGACATATTATCTTTCTTCTTCGAGATATGTACACTCAAAGCTTGAAAACACATAGTTTTACTACAGCGATTAGGGTATTATACTAAATATTGTTTATGACGAACAAAAATATTGG